GACCAAATTACAAAATCTTACGTAGTTTGGTTGGTATGACATTTTGGCACCTCCTGCATTATACACTCCTGGGTTTCGTCTTTCCTCGCCCTGCTTATAACCCTAACTAATTATTGAAGATGAGTCAAAAGCCGAAACGCATTTGTCTGGGCAAAATATTTGGAAAAAAAACATTTAAAAATTGTCCAGAAACATTGTGGAATAAAACTCAGAAGATTGGAAGTAATGATAAAGAACGCCGATTTTCCCATCTTAAACTGCCAGAATAGATCTCAGAGGAAATTTGTAGACCGTTGGGACTCTCTATCTGTTTACAGGAATTGTCGTTCCTCATGCCGAAAGACTCGAAAATCAAGGACATTCTGCCGTAGTAAATTCTTATCTCCTTACCGACTGCTTCGTCTCATCAAAGAAACGATACTGAAAATACAGCCATCATTGCCTGGTTCACCCAGTCGCTGTTTACTCGTTCAAAATTATTTTTAAAATAGGATGTATGATTAAGAAGAAGTGATAAAATATGAAAAAGAAAGCGAAACTACTGGAAAGTTACATGGAGCCTGGAGAATTATGATTCCGGGGTATATTTACATCTGAGACTCGTTGCATGATGCAATGCACCCGGGCAAAAAAGAAGTGCGTGTAAATCAACAAGCAGGCCACAAGCAGTCCGTATTTTTTCCACTACAGATTTTAAAAAGTGATCTTAATTACGGAAGGTCTAGATTCATATCTGCGTAGTTTGTAAGAAGATGACGAAACCAGCGTGATTTATAAGCGACAAGTGATCAAAAGATAAAGTGGCAGAAGAATGCAACAATCTGTGCAAATCACATGTTGACGAGAATGGTAAAACCTTTGAAACTACACTGAAAGGAAAAAAAAGTGGCCACCCTCCCTTTTTAGTAACTAATAGCAATCGTTATCATTTTTATTTTTCCATGTTTACTGTTTATTTTTAAAGAAAACTATAAGATATAGCTAAATAAATAAAAAATTAAACTGAGTAAAATAATTTTACCAAAAATGGTGCTATGGAAACAATGAAGACAATTTTCAATTCAGTAAGGATATTTCCCTCATCTTGCGTTCGACGTGGCATCGACTTTATGAGGTTTTGAATTTAGTGCTGTGGAAGAATATTTTTCATACTCCTCCATCAGCGCCATTCTTAATTCTTGCAAATTCTCTGTCATCACTGGGCGACTTTTTCCAATTTTGACAACACGTCTCAAAGGCGTCCGATAGGGTTTATGTCGGGACTACATGCATAATTACGATTCCTTATTGTTATCGAGATTTCGCCATTCGATACTAGCAAGTTTTTACTCGTATCTTGAGGTGTCGGAATAGGGAAAAAACAGAGGAAAAATTGTTCGCTTTATAACAGATAACAATGCAAACGAAGTCGTAGTTTCTCACCCTAAGAAATGTCATAGTTTAAACCTTAAACTTGAGTTGTGTTGAAAAAGAAGTGTAAATCAAGGAAACAGGCAAGGCCATCTCTCGTGTCGTAGAGATTGTAAACATTTTCAAAAACACCTGTGACAAAGACCAAAAAGAACTTTCCCATGATCAACTAAGATTAAAAATATAATTATTTGGAGATCGAGAGATGCGGTCTGGAGCACTCTCAACACGGCACACAAGAATGACACATCTACACGGAAAACAAACACTTTGAGCCCTGAAGATGATCTCAATAAAGATCGAAACGTTGGCACGATAAAGAAAATGTTTTTCTAAAACCTACGGCACACCAGACCTCATCTCAAGATCTACGAATAATCATTGACTCATTGACATTAAAAATATAATAAACCCAGTTCAATTTCAAACAACCAAAGTGTTATCTCAGGCAAATAAATCCCATTAATCAATACTATGAAACATGGAGTTAAATCTTCTAGGAGCAGTGTACTAATTCTTCATATCTGCGTTATCTAAAGAGTGTGAAATATACAGTTAAATAATAAGGGAGAAAAAGAGTCCTCTTATCTAACGCCTATTTCTACCGGGTAACCCAGTAGTACAAAAGGCTCTTGAAATACAAAAAAATAAAAACCATTCTGGAGACATTAAAATAAATTATATGTCTCGGCATCTGACGAAATGTGGAAAAACTCAACATTGAAACTTAGATAACGAAGATCTGTGGAAGAAAGACAACCAACAGAAAAAGACCCCTTTCAGAAAGGGGTCTCGATATGGTACACTTATAGATCAAAAATATAAAACCATAGCAAAGCCACGTAGACTGGTTCTATCTTCCATACTTAGCCATGCAAACCAACTCTGTGCTTAGCTCCGAACTAGAAACTAGTAAATTGCCAGATGGCTCTATAAAAACACAAGTTCACTTCGAAGAGGCTTCCAGGACATGATGGTATAGAAAGAAACAGGCAGACCAATTAGCCAAAGAAGGGGTGACCCTCACACATGGGACCATAACTCGGTGCACTGGAGGGTGTGGTAAAGTTAGAGCTGGAAAAAGACATGAAAAAGGTCATTCTCAAGCACTCAAGCAACTCATAAAACTCAAACTCAAGCTCTTAATAAAAGCAACAGGTTTGAGCCAAGCTAAGAGATTAATCAATTTATCAAAAAAGAAACAGGTAGTATCTAATACCCCAAACATGGAACACTGGTGGATCCAAGGATGGACCAGGGAGTGAAATGGTAGAGGTATAATTAAACTTTAACAAAATCTCTGGGATTGGTTCCAACTGACATCATGGTTTGGGCTCCAAACTTGCTTGGGAGAACACAGCAAACTTCTGACCCATGAGACCGAAACCACAAATGCGCACAACAGAAAGAGTGCTAAACATTGTACTTAAACTGGCTTGAGAAGGAATAGCTACAGGAAGGGTATGGTAAATCAATAATGGAACAGAGAATAGGTGCAGGGATAAAGGCAGCAAAATTTCTTGGATTTTTCCAACTTTTTGCCAAACTGAGTTCCATGCAATCCATGAATGGTGCAAGGATCTAAGTATTTCGGATAGTCAGGCAATTAAAAGAAGCACTAAATGCGTAAGTCTTGGCTCTAAACTACGGCCCTAGACGGACACAAGGTCAACTTGAGGTTGGTTCCAATACTTAACGGAATAAAATGAAACATGCTGACCAACTTGCCAAAGGGTTGGCGTCTCGACCATGGGACCACAACTAGGCACATCGGAGAGTGTGGTATAGATACAGCAGGAAAATTCAAGCACTGCGCAATCACGTCACATCAGAATACAGAAAACCCATCGAGGATTCAAAAACTCTTTACGTTCTGAGAGGACAGAACTAAAAAACTACATAGAACATTGCAACAGGAACGAAACTTTTCATTGTGATTGTTAGCATGGACGATTCTGCCTACAACATCACAAAAATGTAGCCGAAAGGAAAGTAGAATATGGAATAATGAATCTTGAAGGACCATTATAAAGGATCCTTTAAAAATAACGACACTAGCACTGAAGTGACTGAAATAAAAAATACATTAAATAAACTCATATATCAAAAAGTGGAACTTTTTTATCGATCGTGGGTTTGACATCAATACAGAAATGTCGAGTGTCGCCAGGGGCAAGTTAATTATGATTTGCATTTTGCTACATTCTACGCAACCTTTTTTCCTCAAATATTTTCAGATAATTTGCATTTTAATTGAGGCTGCCAAATCATTTCTACTTTCACCCGAATCGCCCAACAACAATTGAAATCGTGCCATTTTGTAATTCTCGTTAAGGGTTTCGGAGGGTAGAAGATAAGAAATTTCTTTCCTTGCGGAGTTGATAAAGAAGACATGAATGGTCCACGGATCAATATATTTTCGGACTATTAGGCAACTACAAAACCGCTAAATACGTGTACTTTTCCAGTGTCTAAAGTGAGTTCATAATGTGGGAATGGACCTTGGAAAACATAGGGTGATTTTTTGGTTCTGGACATGTTAGTGTAGAAGGAAACATAACCAACTAGCTGAAGAAGGGATGACCATCTCACTCATGACCACAAATAGGTGGTTCATCAATTCTTTCTAAGCAATCGGTGAAATAAAGCGATAGATTGGAGAAATCGGTCGAAAAGTTTCCGATGCCCTAAATATGCCAGTGAATATTTCAATCATATTTTCACGCTAATTTAAAGAACTTAGAAAGAAAGAAGAAAGAAGGGAAAATCGAGTGAGACCCCCGCCTTTGTAGACTTGTTTTGTATCTCGTTGTGCAGTATGCTTAGTAGTGAACATTTGGCATGATGTAGTTGGAAACCCTGAGGTCTCCTAACTGTCCGAAAATACAAACCTTCTCTCGGCCGTCCGTACACCATAAACAAAAACCTCGACTCATCCGAAAACAAGGTTTTAGTCCAATCTTGCTCAGATCAATTGATGCGATTTCTTGTAAAACATAACCGAGCTTTTTTGTGCCTTGTTAAAAGTTTTGGATCAGTGGCAGGCCTTCCCGCACGTAATCCAGCTTCTGAAAGTATTCGCCTAGCAGTGCGTAAACTAACATAAACATTTCTAACTTGTTGAAGTCGTTGGTTGATTTCAACACCGGTAGAATGTCGATTACGCAGTACATTCGAAACAATAAAACGACCGTCTCTCTGAGATGTGACACGGTGGCGACTGATCCGCGCCTTTTGGAGTAACCTCCAGTATCTTCGTAGCGATGGAGACCCTTCGGGCAGTAGTTCTCGGAATGTTATGCACAAGAGTGGCCACATACGCTCTAACGTATTCCACCTTTCAGTCATGCCGAATCTGTATCACGTAAAACCATCACTAAAACAAATTTTAAACTTAAAAAAGGTACAACTTTTAAAAAATCAAACGACCGTGACGTTAAAAAGAAGTTTTACAGAAAAACCAACAAAGAAGAGATTGACTAATCGATGATTTATTTACAAAATCCGATTGTAAACACAAGTGGGCGATTTTATCTGTATTTTGTTTACCTCTAATCCTTTAAAACACACGAAATCTTGTTGTAAGCTAATCAATGGAGAATTGTCTAAGAGATATTTAAAAATATTACGGGTTGTCACTTTTTTTACCTCTCAGTGTATTAAAATGTCCAGATATTTTTGTTGGCAACCCTTCCAAGTCATTCTTTCCTTTTTACCAAGACCAATTTAAATTTCCCGACCTGAAATAGCTTTTGCCTATCACATCAGACAATATTGCTCAAATTGGCACAGAGCAGTTGTTATTTCCACGATTGTTTCGTTGAAGGAAACAATACACAATAAACATGCGGGCATTCCCTGAATGCGAAATGCCGATTGGGCACAGCGACACCAAACGGACCTTGACGACCGGGGACGATCAAGCGGAGAAATTTCCAACAAATATTAGACGCTTTCAGCCGACAAAAACCGAAAAAAAGGTACAAGAATTTGCCGTTGTAATATTTATAAATTCTTTTGAACATATCCTTCAGAAAGTGTGTCTGAAAATCATTGAGATGCCTTACTAAACATTTAATGTGTGGTGACCGTTAATCGATAATTATTCAGAAATCGTAAGATGCGGTCTGGTGTGATGTAGGTTTCAGAAAAACATTTTCTTTATCGTGCCAACGTTTCGATCTTTATTGAGATCATCTTCAGTGTAATTGTGTAATTGTGCCATTCTTGCGTGTCGTGTTGAGAGTGCACGACACGCAAGAATGGCACAATTACACAGAAGACAAACACTTTGAGCCCTGAAGATGATCTCAATAAAGCTTGAAACGTTGGCACGATAAAGAAAATGTTTTTCTGAAACCTACATCACACCAGACCGCATCTCACGATTTCTGAATAATTAAACATTTAATATTACAAATCCTTAATAAGCTCATTTTTCCGGTATTTTCCTATAAAATTTTGTAGACGGAGTTGCTAAATATTCCTATTACAATCGGGCAATCTTTGACATCGTTTCAAGCCTTTGCTTTACCCTAGAAATTGAGATAAAATTTCACAATTGGCCTAAAAATTGAGAGAATAATGCATTTTCTATAATATAGTGTTTCGAAGAACAATTATTCGGAAATCGTGAGAAGCGGTCTGGTGTGATGTAGGTTTAAGAAAAACATATTCTTTATCGTGCCAACGTTTCGATCTTTATTGAGATCATCTTCAGGGCTTGGGATTTACAAGCATTGTTTAAATTTAACAAATGCATGTAGGATGCGGAAAAAAGTGAATTTATCCAATGCAAAACAATATTTTTTATATTGAATCAAAATATTTCTACTTACTCAAAGTGTTTGTTTTCTACGTAATTGTGCCATTCTTGCGTCTCGTGTTGAGAGTGCCAGTGAGATTTTGCTGTTTTATGTTTATATACGTTGGATTTTGAAGGTGTGGGGAAGGAAGTCGGTACAGAAAGACATTTTTCTATAAGGAGTCGGCTTCTTTGAGGTGAAAAGATCAGGATTATATAGACGGGGATAAATAGGAAAAGGAAAGCTAAATTGTTCAATTGTAGATTACGTCAGATTTATTTGTTATAGGGTTGGAATCTTTAATTTTGGAAAAAAGCGTTTGAGTCGTTTTATAATTTTTGAAAGCTATTTTGAAGTTATCGGACGAGAGAAATGTGTTTATTTATGTGATAGGGCGTGAATGAATGGCATGGAAATGTATGTTGGTTTGTTTGTATTTGATAGATTTGATGTAGTATTATTAGTACTAGTGGATGGTGTTAGTGTTGAGTTGTAGTTGTTGATTATTCTGTTGATTATGTGTTTAGGGTAGTGATTGTTATGGAAGTTCTGTTTGCATATCTTTATGTTCTTGTGGTGAAATGGTTCATGGCTTAGAGTATTAACTCTGTGAAGTAACCCTTTGGCCGTGTTTATTATTGTATGAAGAGGATGGTGAGATGTAAAGTTGAGGTAGCGATCTGTGTTTCTTGGTTTTTGATACCAATCTGTGATTAATCTGCCATCTGGTTGTTTTATTACGAGCGTATGTAAAAATGGTATTGTTTTGTTGTTTTCGATTTCATGTGTAAATTGTAGGCGTGGGTGAAAGCTATTAGATGTATCTAATGTAGCTTGAATTTGATCTGTGGGAACTGCTGCTGTTTTTGAAGAATTTAGTGAGGAAGGGTAATGTGAAAGGAAGTTGTGGTATAACTGTGTTTAATAGATGTGTCATAATTATGTCTGCCAAATAGTTGTTTGTAAAATTGATTGTTGTATGTAAAACATCCGTTAATACAACAGTGTCGAACCATTGTTATGAACGTGTTCTTTGATAGACTTGTGTGTGGTGTTATGTTGAGCCATTTATCTTTAATAATGTTCAGTGTTGTGTCTATTGGAATGTTGGTGAACAATGATGAACATCTAGGGATATGAGAGAGTAGTAAGAGGGGATGTGAATATTATTAATTTTGTTAATGAATCTTTTACGTTATGTGTTATCTGTGATGTTGTTGTGTATGTGAAGAAGTATGTGTGAGTATAGAAATACTTTGATTGAATATAAAAAATAAATTTTTTTTTGCATTGTATAAATTCACTTTTTTCCACATTCTACATGTATTTGTTAAATTGAAACAATATTTGTAAATCCCAGGCCCTGAAGATGATCTCAATAAAGATCGAAACGTTAGCACGATAAACAAAATGTTTTTTTGAAACCTACATCACACCAGACCGCATCTCACGATTTCCGAATAATCATCGACTGACGATCACTAATCACCATACGTTTCGAAGAACGTTTTTCTTTCAACTCGGCGAGAAAGATGGAACGAAAATACATCTAGAAAAATATATATCGCAGATTCAGGTTGTCGGTTGTCTTTTTCTCCGCGAAAACATCAGAGAATGTAACTCCGTAACTGTAAATGTCATGCTAAGAGATATGTATTTAGGTTGCTGAGGTTACGCAGACCCGCTGGAAATCGTTTCGCTCGGAACGAGTTCCATCCATTTTTCCTTCTCAGATTCATTTCGGGAGCCGTTTTAAATCAGAGCATTTCAATCATTCAGTCTGCGCCAAATATAATAATAATACATCGAAGTACTGCATTATAACTAACAGGCTTCAAGTGTTCACAGATATTTGGGGGGAAAAATTGAAAATTCTTTCAGATTGTGAGATTTTTCCATGTTCTTTGAGGGACAATGAATTTCAAATTTGGCCGTTAGGGTTCATTTTAGTCTGGCTAATTTCGCTGGTTATATTTCGCCATCTTCAGTGTGTCACAACAGAGTAAATTTCAAATTCTTCCGACCACGAACAGTAGGTAATTCGAAATACTGTCTACATTTCCAATCATCCTGGCACGTCTAGAGTTGTTTCGGAATTTCGCCATCATAAGAGGTGACTCAGACCTCACCCTGCTTATAACCCTGATTCATCGGACCTGTCAGTCTAAAGTTACAAGTCCTCACCAATCCTACTTTAATGTAAATCACATCATCTCACGTAGTTTGATCAGTATTAAGTTACGTTATGGCACAGCCTGTATTATACAGTAGTAGGTTTGTTTTTCTTTACCCTGCTTATAACCCTGACCAACCACTAAACATGGCGAAATGCGGAAACGCGTCTGACAGACCAAATTACAAAATCACTTAGTTTGGTCGGCATCTCAGACACGATTGCACATCCTATTATACAAGGATGCGTTTACAGCCTATATTATACATTGGTGGGTTTGCCTTCTCTCGCCCAGTTTATAACCCTGACTAACCACTGACCATGGCAACAAGCCGAAACGCGTCTGACAATCCAACCCAGCGAGAGTAAGCAGAAGAAATAACAAAATTTTACGCAGTTTCGTCAATATTTCAGACACATTGGGCACCTTCTTATAATACAGTGGGGGATATGTTTTTGCTCGCCCTGCTTATAACCCTGATCGACAACTGAAGATGGCGAAATGCCAAAACCATCGGACAGATTAATCCAGCAAGGATAGGCAGAACAAATTACAAAATGTCACAAAGTTTGGTGGGTAGTCAGATACCTTTTAGCCATCCTATAGTCAACACTTGTTGGATAGTTCCTTCTTCACCTGCTTATAACCCTGACTAGCCAATGACGGTGGATGAAATGCCGAAACGTATCTGGCATACTAACCTAGTGAGGATAGGCAGACTAAATTATATAATCACACGTAGTTTGGTGATTATTTTGTCACATTCTATGACATACAGTCGTGTGATAATTCTTTCCTAACCCTGCTTACGACCTTGACCAAACACTGTTGAAGGCCGAAACGAGTCGATTGATCGGAAACATCCAAGTTCAGGTAAATTACCCAGCATGCCTCAGTAAGAAAACCTTAAAGTTATTACAGTTTATAACTAGACAAACGAAAGGCTAAGATGAGAAATTCAAAATATAAGTTTTAACTATACATTACTCAATTTATATCAAGAAAACATTAAGTAGGTTTCAATCATTTTCGCAAACTGTTTCGCTTATCGTTTTATATGAGTAGGATCAATTATCTGGGTACAATGAAAAACTGGTGTTTAGTATGGGAGAGGCTTTCAATAAGACATTTGACCGTTTAAAAAGGGACAGTGGGATATCGATGACCTCAAAGCAAAGGCGCGTTCACTCTCACCCCCTACCAAGCCGAGACACCTGGCGGCCCACTGTCTACCAGGTCTAAATTAATACAAGCCAGTTTGCCTGCCACGTGCCCCAAATACGAAATCGCCTTGCCAATTCTCATTCCAATCCGTCTCGAGACTTCTGACAATCCAAGATTCACATTAAACATTTTTCAAATTGGGAATGGGGGGAGGAGGCTTTCGATCATTTAAACCATGATCAACTATGATCACTTGTAGAACGAAAAACGCGTCTTACAGAGCGCCGAGGATTTCATACGATTTGTAGCTTTTTACGAATGCATCATAGAAATTAGCTTATTGTTTATTAACGTTATTACTACTGCATGTCATTTTATAGAGTATTTGAATTATCTCGTGGCAAAACGAGGATATCGGCCTTGGCAACGAAGAACGAAGAAAAATTTGTAGGATTCTTGCCCTTCCTGAACTACTCGAGAAGTTCCCATTGTAAGGTGTTTGGAAAAACAAAGAAGCCGGAAACAAGAGAGCCGCATGAATTAACCTTGGCCTAGTTGTTCCCCGATTCGAACTCGTCGCTGTTGTTGCGCAAAAGAAATTTTTTCGCATCGTTCGTCCGCCCGAGATGAAAATTCGGTATTATACAACAACCGTAATAAAAAGTTGACCACCTTGAAACCAAGAAAAAGCGATTGTAGTTTCGTGATGTACTTCATATTTCTCGGCGTAAGTGGGAAGAGCCCCCTTCATTCACGCTAATAAATTACATTTAAATTGCCCCAGAGTACTCGAAATTTCTCGGCGTAATAGGGAAAGAATCCCCAGAGTATTCGATA